GGGGGGGGGTTCAGACCTCTGCAATAAAGCGAATAACACAATTTTTGTTTGTTTGTTTGTTTCCAGTGCATATAAAAGTTATGTTCACACTATGCTATAGTCTATTAGGTGTGCAATAATTACATGATGTCCAAAAAAAATGTATACCTTAACTTCTAAAAAGCTTAATTACTTAAAAATGCTAACAATCATCTGAGCCTTCAGCAAGTTGGAATCTTTTTACTGGTGGGGGGTCTTGTCTCCACGCTGATGGTTGCTGACTGATGAGGGTGGTGATTTCTGAGCGATAAGATGACTGTGGCAGTTTCTTAAAATAAGAGAACAATGAAGTTTGCTGCATGATTGACACTTCCTTTCATAAAATGTTTCTCAGTAGCACGCAGTTACCCACAGAACTTCTTTCAAAATTACAGTCCATTTTCTCAAACTTTGCTGCTGTTTTATCAACTAAGTTTGCATAAATCCTTTGCTGTCATTTCAACAACGTTCACAGTATCTTCACCAGGAGTAGCTTCCATCTCAAGAAACCGCTATCTTTGCTCATCCACAAGAAGCAACTCCTCATCCATTCAAGTTTTATCATGAAACTGCACCAATTCAAGATATTTTCAGGCTCCACTTCTACTTCCTTCGCTATTTCTCCCCCATCTGCAGTTTCTTCCTCCACCGAAGTCGTAAACTCCTCAAAATCATCCATGACAGTAGGAATCAACTTCTTCCAAATTCCTATTAATGTTGATAAGTTAACCTCTTCCCATGAATCACGAATGTTCCTAATGGTATCTAGAATGTTGAATCCTTCCCAGAAGGTTTTCAGTTTTCTTTGCTCAGATCCATCAGAGGAATCACTGTCTATGGCAGCTATAGCCATATGAAATGTATTTCTGATAATAAGAATTGAAAGTCGAAATTACTTTGCAAAGAGCTGGGGATGTAACTGTGAGTGGGATAGACCTGGACCCTGCCCTCTTGGAGTTTATGGTCTAATGGAAGGAGAAAGATATTAAATTCCTGCCCAAAGTACAGAATTACACAGTGATACCTCATTTTATTGTGTTTTGCTTTATTTCACTTTGCAGAAATCATGTTTTTTACAAACCGAAGGTTCATGGCAACCCTGCATCGAGCAAGTCTATAGGCACCATTTTTCCAACAGTATGTGCTCACTTCATGTCTCTGCGATACATTTTGGTAATTCTCACAGTATTTCAAACTTTTTCCTTATTATCGTTCTATCCCTCATGGCGACCTGTGATCAGTGATCTTTGATGTGACTATTTCATTTGTATTGGGGACACCACGAACCAGGCCCATATAAGTCAGCGAACTTAATGGATAACTGTTATGTATGCTCTGACTGCTCCATTGATCGGCTGTTCCCCCATCCCTCGCCTTCTCCTGAGGTCTATTACCTGCAACAAACAGTACTGAAATTAGGCCAACTAATAACCTGACCACGGCCTCTAAGTGTTTGAGTGAAAGGAAGAGTCAAACGTCTGTCACTTTAAGTCAAAAGCTAGAGATGATTAAGCTTAGTGAGGAAGGCATGTTAAACCTGGGATAGGCTGGGAAGCTAGGCCTCTTGCACCAGTTAGCAATGTTGTGAATGCAAAAAACTTTTTTGAAGGAAATTAAAAGTACACACATGAATGATAAGAAAGAGAAACAGCCTTATTGCTAATGTGGAGAAAGTTTCCATGGCCTCCACAGAAGATCAAACCAGCTACAACATTCCTTAATCCAAAACCTAATCCAGAGCAACTCTCCTCAATTAACTCCCTTCAATTCTATGAAAGCTGAGAGGTGAGGAAGCTGGAGAAGAAAAGTTGGAAGCTAGCAGAGGTTGGTTCATGAGGTTTAAGGAAAGAAGGCCTCTCTATAACTTAAAAGTGCAAGGCGAAGCACCAAGTTCTAATGGAGAAGCTGCAGCAGGTTATCCAGAAGATCTAGCTAAGATGACTGATGAAGGTGGCTAGATTAAAAAATGGATTTTCAATGCAGACAAAACAGCTTTCTATTGGAAGAAGAGGCCATCTGGGGCTTTCACAGTTGAGAAGTCAATGCCTGGCTTCAAAGCTTGAAAGGACAGGCTGACTCTCTTGTTATAGGCTAATGCAGTTGACAACTTTAAGTTAAAGTAATGCACATTTTATTATTCGAAAAATCCTGGGGCCCTTCAGAATTATGCTAAATCTACTCTGCTTGTGCTCTGTAAATGGAACAACAAAGTCTGGATGACAGGACATCTGTTTATAGCATGATTTACTGAATCTTTTAAGCCCATTATTGAGACCTACTGCTCAGAAAAAAGGATTCCTTTTAGAATACTACTGCTGATTGACAATGCACCTAGTAACTCAAGAACTCTGATGGAGATGTTCAAGGAGATGAATGTTGTTTTCATGCTGCTAACACTACGTCCATTCTGCAGCCCATAGATGAAGGAATAATTTTGGCAGATACCCAATAAACATCTGGTGATGGGGCTACTCCAAGGAAGGAGAGAATGAATGGATAAGTAATGGTAAATGAATGAAGTTAAGAATGAATGTAAAATGGTGCTCCAGCCATTAAAAACTAGGGGACAAATTTCAGCTCCTTGGATTTGACCCACAGACTGTTTCTGACTGTGAATTCTAAGGCTGAGGAGAGCTGATGGTACTACGTACTTGCTGTGTTTGCCCTGAGCAATCAAAAAGGGCTTCCTAGAGGCAGTGTGGAGAGTTACACCTCCCTGCTCAGGTTAAGCTCATCATGCGAAGGAAAGTCACTCAAGAGAGCATATGAAAATACTAGTGTTGACTGATGAGCCAAAGTTCCTGTTTGCAGGTCATTATGAAGTTAAAGAGTAATTTAGGGGTTATCAGAATTAACTCGAAACCTCACCTATTGCAGCAAAGGGGTAGGCTGCCTTGGAGTCAACGGCCCAGCTTTGTCCTTCACCTGCTGACTGGGACCTGGCCTGACAGTCCACAGAAGCCCCTCGGGGTCAGCTTACCTCAGTGTCCCAAGCCAGGACAACTATCAAGGTAAGTCCCCACTGCACTCTGAGCATAGACCTCATCATGAAATGAAGCGATTGGTTGAGGTCCCTGTCACCTCTGACTTTTCATAATTCCAGGATTCTGCCTTCTTGTTAGAGCAGTGCATAGGCAGGGCATTTGGGCTAGTGGGAGCATACCAGGTGAGAGATCAGACACTGGGGCCTGAGCCTCTGCTTGGAGAATCCTCAGTCCCGAAGGCCCTGTGGGCCCCACAGGTTCATTCACACTACACCCTCAGACAGAGTCAGCACCTCCTCAACAGCTCCCCTTTCCCGGGGACTAAAGCCCCAGCATCAGGGCTGCTTTCCTTTGGCTTAGGATGTCAGAAGCTCCAGTGGAAAGACGGACATTCATTCTTCACTTACCTTTGACTGTGTGTGCTCTGCGCACATGGAGCTAGAAGCAGACATGACTCCAACAGGGTCCCACCCCGTTGGGGAGCATCTTTGACACCAGAGGGGAGACGGACTTGGGAAAGGATGAGGAGATAAACGCAGGGCGTCATGGGGCCCCGGGGAGAGGGCATAGATATGAGAAAAGGCTTTAGGATATGAACTGACATATACTGAGCACTCACTAATGGGAGCCAGGCACTGTTCTAAGTGTTTTTCACGTATTCTCTCTCCTTGCCTCACAGCAGCACCTATAAGGCAGCATTATTATTCCCAATTCACAGATAAGGAATGGAGGCACAGCGAAGTTAAGTAATTTGACCAGGGGGTCAACTAGCAATGGAAAGATTTGCTGAATCTTTTAAAGGTCCGGAAGGGGTGGATGTGAAATTTTGTAAGTGCTTGGTGCATTTCTACTGAATGAGCTGGCCAATAAACCAATGCATGAGTACATGAAGGCATAAATGGTCAGTAAGCCATGGGGCTAGGAGTAGGGTCAAGGTAGGCTTAGAGAGAAGGTCCAGAGTTGAGTTGGAAAAGGTCAGAGCAAAATGTAATACCAGTACGCAGCTGTGACCATAGCTAGAGGCTTCTCTCTGAGCTTCCTCCTGCTCACCTCCTCCCCCCATGTGACCAGATCTGTCAGGTATTAAGTTCAAGGGAGCAGTTTCCTTCCAGATACTGTCTCACCAGGGTTATATACACAACTTGCAGCCACAGGGCAAGGTCCAGGTGTTCAGATCTTTCCACCCCTAATATATCAAGGCCTCCCAAACCTCTTCTGGCACCCAGAGAACAGGGTGTCTGTCCGGAGCGTAACCTGCAGGAGCATAGCCATGGTGCTCTGGAGTCCGGTGCTGGGAGCTCTGCTGGTAGTCATTGTGGTGTACCTGTGCCTGCCAGGCCTTCTCCGACAACGCGGGCCCCAGGAGCCCCCTCTGGACAAGGGCACAGTGCCCTGGCTGGGCCATGCCCTGGCTCTCAGGAAGAATATGCTTGGATTCCTGAAGGACATGAGGACCAAGCACGGGGATGTGTTCACAGTGCAGCTAGGGGGCCGGTACTTCACCTTTGTCATGGACCCCCTCTCCTTTGGCCCCATCCTCAAGGATACACAAAGAAAACTAGATTTTTCAAAATATGCAAGAGGACTGGTGCTAAAGATATTTGGATACTATGCAGAGGGTGTGGAGAAACAGAAGATCCACTCAAGCAGCACTAAGCATCTGATGGGGCATGACTTGGAGGATCTCAATAATGTCATGGTGGACACCCTGTCCCTGATAATGCTGGGGCCCAGAAGCCAAAGTCTGGATGCCAGTTGCTGGCGCGAGGATGGCCTCTTTCACTTCTGCTATAACACCATGTTCAAGGCTGGCTACTTGAGCTTGTTTGGCTACACGAAGGACAAGGAGCAGGACCTGCTACAGGCAGAGGAGTTATTCACCCACTTCCTCAGGTTTGACTACCTTTTCCCCAGGATTCTCTATTCCATGCTGGGGCCCCGGGAGTGGCTAGAAATGGGCCGACTCCAGCGTTTCTTTCCCAAGATGCTCTCTGTGAAACACAACCAGGAGAAGATAGGCATAACCAACTGGATATGCTCCCTCCATCAGTTTCTGCGGGAGCGGGGAGTAGCCCCAGACATGCAGGACAAGTTCAACTTCATGATGCTCTGGGCCTCCCAGGGGAACACAGGGCCTGCCACTTTCTGGGCCCTCTTGTTCCTCCTGAAGCACCCAGAAGCCATGCAGGCTGTGAGGGAGGAGGCCTCCCAGGTCCTGGGTGGGGCGAGGCTGGAGGCTGGACAGTCTTTCCCGTTCAAACGTAGTGCCCTGCGATGCACCCCAGTGCTGGACAGTGTGATGGAGGAGACTCTACGGCTGAGGGCAGCACCCACCCTCTGCAGGGTGGTGTCCGAGGACTACATCCTGAAGATGGCCAGTGGGAAGGAGTACCTGTTCCGCCGCGGAGACATCGTGGCCCTCTTTCCCCACCTCTCAGTGCACATGGACCCTGACGTCCACCCTGAGCCCACTGCTTTCAAGTACGATCGCTTCCTCAACCCTGATGGGAGCCGAAAAGTAGACTTCTACAAGGCAGGCAAGAAGATTCACCACTACACCATGCCTTGGGGCTCAGGCGTCTCTATCTGCCCTGGGAGGTTCTTTGCCCTCAGCGAGATGAAGCTCTTTGTCCTGCTCATGGTCACATACTATGACCTAGAGCTAGTTGACCCTGACACACCTGGGCCCCAGGTTGACCCGAAGCGCTGGGGCTTTGGTGTCATGCACCCCAACCACGAGGTGCGCTTCCGCTACCGCCTGCAGCCTGCAGAGTGAGCTAGACCAAGCCAGCACAAGCCTGAGCAGAGGGTCTCCTCCCTGGGGGCTCCCACCTCTTCTCTCCCTCTGCACCCCAGACTCCTACCCCCACCCCTCTGGTTCTGTGGCACGTCCTACCTCTGTCCTGGTCATCCTAAATCTCTCACCCCTTAGTCATCTCACAGCTTGTCATTCTCTCCTTAAAACGCTATTTCTCACGGTGCGTCCTGCGGAGCCCTCCTCTCGCAGGAAGTCCAGGGGAAGAGGAAATATCTGTGGGCCACCCCGTTTGGGAGATGGTGCCTGCCTTGAGAAGTCCTGCAGTACAGAAACTGGTCCCCATGAGTAATGTGGCATCTTGCAAATCTTAGCCTCTACCCTCCCGCCTTGCTTTACTGTTTTTCCGCAACCTTTATTCCGCATCCTGTGAAATTCAGGTTCTAGAACAGTGTCTTCCAATAGAAAGATAAGGTAAGTTACATGTGTAATTTTTAATTTTTTAGTAGATACCTTTTTAAAAAGTAAAAAGAGAGATAAGTCATTTTTTGAATATATTTTACTGAACTCAATAGATCCAAAATATTAACATGTGATCAATATAAAAAGTATTAGTGAGATATTTTTCATTCCTTTTTTCACCCTGTCTTCAAGAGCCGGTGCGTGCTGTACTCTCGCGGCACTTCCCAATTCAACTAGCCACATTCCTGGTGCTCAACAGCCCCTGCTGCCAGCAGCTGCGTGTTGGACACCGCAGGCAGAAAAACACTGCCTTTACTGTAGGAGTTCTTCAGGGTCCCTCCTCAGTGCCCTTGTCTCCTCTGTGCACCCCCACCTCAGGGTGGTCTCAACCCCCCCTGGTTTTCCATGATCACTGCTGAGCTCAGAGCTTTCTCCTACCCCCAGAGCCCCAGGGGAGGCCCACAGCACCCCTGACTCAGCTTGGCCCAAGCAGAACTCAGCCTCTGTCCCCCTGCCTCTTCCCTGAACCACTCCCTCCTGCTGACTTCCCTGCCTCTCTGCTCAGGACGCTACCATCTAATCAGGCCCTAGTCCTGTCCCCCCAACCCCCTCGGATGCCTCTGAAATGTGTCCCCTCCTCCCTACCCCTGCTGCCATTCCTATACCTGTGACCTCTGCATCTCTCTCCACACCGGGCCTGCCCGGCCCTCTGTCCACCTTGCTGCCAGAGGCCTCCTTCCGAAGGCGCCTCTGATTGTCACTCTTTTGCTTTCCCAACTCCTCCTTGCCTTCACATGCCTGACATTTAAGTTTCACCACAATTGGTCCCCAAATTTCTCAATCCAGTGCAAATTAACTTTGCCAACCTACATTGCTTTTCCTCCAGTGCCAGCTGCTCCTGGAAGCCTTCTTGGATTTCACCCCTCCCATCCTCTGGTCAGAATGGCCCCATCCCCCTGGGCTCCTGCAGCATCATGTGTATCACAGCACCTCCATTAGGTGTCATTGTTGTCTCTGTCTTGGTTTCCTCCTCCTTCCCCCTGCCCCAGGCTGCAGCCCACTAAGGCCTGGTATCTTGTTCATTCATTTCTGACCTTCAATTCCCCAAGTGGTGATTAAATTGCAGAAACCTGACTTCTAGTCTCTTTACTTCCTGTCCTCAAATCATTTCTTGCTCCTCCATGGCCTAAGCCTTCAGGCATATGAGATGGAGGCAATGCCCATTGTTGGGTAGGGGCCACAGGAGGGGGAGAAGGGGGCTGGAAAGTAGAGAACTTACCAATGACCTCCCCACACAGCCAGGCCCTGTGCAAAGTCCACTGGCGATGGGGGTAAGGACACGGGGCCTTCACACACCTCCTTGTCCCTGCTCAGACCTCGATGCTGTGTCCCGTCCTTTTCCCCACACCCAGAGGAATATGGAGCAGGAGCCTGGCCTGTGGACGGGATGGGGCAGGGCTGAGGGCCTGAGTCCCCTGGGTCAGGACCAAAAGTTCTCAACTGGGAGTGACCATGCGCAGATCTGCGAGGAACGTCATGGGCCCTGTGTCCTGCTTGAGAGCCCCAGGGGGTGTGCTTGGGGCCGAGGGAAGCCTCAGTGGGTGAGGGGGTGGGTGAACACAAGGGTACACCCCACGCTCAGGGATGTCCACCATAACTACAGGCCTCCAGGAAGCAGTGAGCACCCGCAGACTGGGGTGTGCATGGACAGGCCAATGCCCACCTGCCTGTGGTTCTGTGCCCCCTGCATGAGGACGGCTGCAGACAGTCCTGGCAGAGGCCTCGAGGCAGCAGGAAGTCTGCAACCCCCAAGGTCGCATCTCCTCACTGCCTGCTCTGACCCAGCAGATCAGTCCCTCAATGCCTCATTTATGCACCAAATGTTTTCTCCCTCTCACCTAGTTCCTCAGCAGGACCTCAGGGGAAAGCCTACAAAATGCATTCTCTCTGAGGGTAGCTTATAGCAAAGCAAGATCAGGCATGACTCTCCAGTGGTGGGATGTGAGGCACCGGGGAAAGAAAAGAGATCTTTTTCATAGGGAGTAACTGCTGCAAACACTCACACCACACTTCCTGGAGCTGAGGGTGGGCAGCAGCCCTGCCCACAGGCAAAGCCACTCCTGCACTTCTCCCCGGGTCAGCCCTAAGGAAGACTCCTCCACCTGGCCTCAGAGCCTGAGGGTCGGGGAAATCCTGGGGGCTTTCCTGAGACCCCTGGGAAAGATCTGGGCAGTGCAGTCAGGGAGCCAGGCCTTGCCGGGCCTTTGGGAAGACAGTGAGCAGCAGCAGGGACCATGGCCCGGGCCGGGAAGTGAGGTCAGGACGCAGGAGGCTCTGTTGGCCCGGGCTGTGAGGGCAGGCGAGCTGCACTATAGGGCGCTGAAGACAGTGAGAGGGAACGACAGGCACCTGCAGCTAGCCCTTCCTCTCTCTTTTGGGCGTAGGCACTAGTGATCATACATCTGTCTTTTGCAAAAAGCACACACTCACACACACACAGAACAGGAAACCCACGGGCACATACCCAGACCCACTTGGACACAGTGACACATACACAGCCATATATACTATGCACAGTACACACAGCAACACAGACACATGTGCACAGACTTCCCACACAGATAGGAACACACGTGCGCACACACACACACACACACACACACACACACACACAAATCCACCAATGCTGCTGTGACAAGCCCTGCCAGGTGTTCCTTACCGGACATACCTTGCCCCATCCCATCTGGGCACGGTCAGCGCCTCTGGGCACCTAGACCCTGTTGGCAGAGCCCCGACTGTATCTCAGCAGCCAGGCTGGCACGTGAACAGAAGTCCCTTGTGGGGCAAGATCTCAGGCACTCTAAAATAGAACCCCTTCCTCCATGTCCTCCAACAAAGAGCCGCCCTCAGATCTGGAGCTTCATTTCCCAGGGGAGTGAGGGAGCTCAGAGTCCTGCCTGGCGGTGGGGAAGCCAGGGCCTTGCGGAGAGAGAACTAAAGGCCCCAGAGCCGAGAGAGATGGGGGTGGGGAAGACACAGTGAAAAACACTAGGGGCAACTCAGGCAACACCAAGGGACAGCTGGGCTCATGACACATGCGCTGTGACAAGGCCATCTTAAGGCCAGGGGGAGAGAAGAGAGAGGGGTCAGAATACTGGCTGCCTGCTCAATTCTCTGTCTGTCAGCCATTCCTGCTCAGGGAGCATCTCCCACGTTCCGAGCACTGGTAGGCGCACAGGAGATGACTGTACACGTGGCGCAGTCTCCGCTCTCGTGGAGCTCACGTTCACTCAGCCATCTGTCCTCTACCCTCCATTCCATCCGCCTGCGTAGCAGGCTGTTTGGCTGTGTGGGACAGACGTGGTAAGGCGTGGGCAGGTTGCGCCAGGTGGCCCGTGAGGTGGGGAAGAGCAGTGAGCCCTTTGGAAGCTCCAGAGAAAGCGATGTCGCTGTGGGCTGGAGCTCCCTGGGGAAAGGTTTCTCAGCGGACGTGCTGGAGGACAGGGAGGATGTCCTGCCCGTTGGAGACATGAAGAGAAAAGCACCCAGGCAGGGAACATCCGTCAGGAATCTTTAGGCCGCACGTGACAAAGCAGCATGCCCCCCACACTGAAACGGAATTTATTGCTTCATACAACTGCCAAGTCCAGGGCTGGGCTGATCTGCAGCCGGGCCTTGGTGCTGAGGCTCCAGCACTGCCCTCAGGACCTGCTCACTCGCTGGCGCTGTCCCCGTCACCTTCTGAAGTTTGGGCTGATGAAGGAGCAGCTCCACATCTCACCTCCTCTCAGCTTCAGTTTCACGCCTCTGTTGTAGCATGTTCCAGTGGCACTGCATTTCACTGGCTCTGCCTGGATGGCGGGCCCACCCCCAGGCGAGTCACTGTGGCCAGGGGAACATAAGGCGGTAACTGGTTGCGTCCCGTGCTCCACCCAACCTCCTCCCAAAGCACAGGGCAGAGAGACCAAGGAGTGGTTTCCCAGAGTAAGTGGGATTCCCAGGCAGGGGTGAGGAGGACCTGGCTGGAAATGGTCCTACTGACATGAGGGAGCCAGCAAGAACAAAGGCACAGCGGGAAACGTGCAGGAAACAGCAAGGGGTGCCTGGTGTCAGGAAAGGAAAAGGGAGTGGAGGAGTATGGGGGCTGGAGGATGCATGGGATTCCACTTGCAAAAGCCCTAGCCTTGAAGTCCAACGAAGGTTCTAGACTTGACTGTGCAAGCCTCAGGGAGACCTGGAGGCTCCTGAGATGGTGCTCACTGCCTGCCTCCTGCAGACTGCATGTGTTCCTGGGCTGTGGGGCAGGTGAGGAGGTGAGGGAGGGAGCCCAGCAGACAGTGGGGGAGGGCGGTTCAGGAAGAAGGCACAGCTGGAATCCCCCAGGGGGATGTGCCTGGAATGTTTGAGAAACAGCCCAGAAGCCAAGTCAGAAGTGCAGAGGGAGCCTGGGACTTGGACTTGTTAAATAAAACTTATGGGCGTCCATTGTTTTGGACTAAGCGCCCACACTGGGCCCCAGTAGAACAGACCAAACCAAAATGGGGTCACTCGTATTACAGTTTCGTGTCATCGAATTGGAACTAAGTTGCTATTTGACCTTTGACGAATCGAGAGAGAAAGTTAATAGCCAAGTGCCTAAACAGGTCAGTTTAATGAAGTCCCCTCTGGTGTTTAATTTTGTTACTACCTTACGCTAGAGTTCAGAGGTAACCTCTGTTTTAATCCTTACAAAAAGGAAGCTGAAGAAACCTAATGTCAACCACTCTGTTGGGCCTTTCAAAGTGACTTTGAAATCATCAATCCACTTTTTGTTCTCTGTTTCTGCTTTCTTCTGCCCTTTTCTGTCTATGAAACCAACCTCTTCTGTTCGGCTCTTTGGAACTCCTTCTGTCTTGTGCAACGAATCTATTCCTCATTCAGTGTACCTATTGCCTGATTCTAGAATTGCAAATGAAGCCGATTTAAACGAAATCTGTTATAATTTTGTGTTTGGACAGGCTGCTGCTGAGGGAGGTGGCAGTGGAGGCCAAGGGTGTCAGGATCACTGTGGCCGCTGGCTGCAGATTAGATAAGAGGAGAGAAGAGATAGGAAGTGCACAGCCGGGAAAACACTGTGGCAAGCCAGGCAAGAGAGTGTGGTGTCTCGGAAGCAAGTGACGAAAGTGGAGGAAAAAGGCCAGAGTGAGCACATGCTGCTGACAGTTGATAACTGAGAACGGACGGAGGCCCTTGGAGAGAGCTTTGAGCGGAAGCCCAGTGGAGCAGGGTCCCATCTGCTCTCACCAGACTGGGGTGGGGTCAGTCAGGTTTAATTATTCCCCAGGGTCCCCTGGTTAGGGGAATTCTCAGCCTGCCTCTCCGCAAGGTCATTCATACCGGTCATCTCTTCTTGGGCAGTAAGCCTGCTGCTCTCAGAACAGTCGGACTGCGAAGCCTGGGCCGTGCCAGGTGCCAGGTGGCGTCCCAGCACAGTGGCCAGGAAAGCCTTCAGGTACCGGCGGAAGCGGCGACTGGAGAAGGCGTACAGGATGGGAGTGAAGCAGCAGTGAAGGAAGGCGACGCTCTCTGTCACCTGCAGTGCATAGTCCAGGTGCTGGCTGACCTCACAGTTCCCGAAGACTTGCAGGTCCAGCAGCGAGTGCAGAAATAAGGTGAGGTTGTATGGGAACCAAAGCACGAAGAAGGCCACCACCAGGGCTGTGGCTATTCTTAGAGCCCGGCCCTGGCCCGGGGGCCTCAGCCTGACCAGGACACAGCCAATGCGTGAATGGAAGAAGATCAGGGCAAGGAGTGGTAGGAGAAAGCCCAGGAGGTTCTGCTGAAAGCGCAGGAAGAACTTCCAAATGGTCCCATGTCCGCCAAAGTCTGCGTAGCAGTTCCACACACCTTTGGGGTTTTCATGAGTCTGTACCAAGACCATGTCAGGGATGGAGACAGCCAGGGCCGTGGCCCACACTATGGCAGCAAGGAGCAGGCTCTTGGCCCGGGTCCTCAGCCTGTGGTAGGGCTGAGCGTGGACAATCTCCAGATATTTGTCCAGGCTCATGCAGCTGATGAAAAAGATGCCACTGTAAAAGTTAATGGTATAGAGGGTGCTCACCATCTTGCACAAGAAACTCCCAAAGACCCAATGCCAGGCCACGGAGATGCCCCAGAAGGGCAGTGTCACCACAAACAGGAGGTTGGAGACGGCCAGGTTTAACAGATAGACCTCCGCCATCCGCCTGCGAGGCACATACCGAAGCAGGATCACGAGAAGAAGGAGGTTCCCGCCAAGGCCCAACACGAAGATCAGGCTGTAGAAGACGGGCAGGAAGACTTTGCCGAAGGACAGCACCGCATCCTTCCTGCAGAGCATGAAGGCCACCTCATCGAGGTAGTCATAGTCGTAGAGGAAGCTGCTGTTTTCAGAACTGGCATCCTCAGTGGTGAATGGCAGCGGGGAGGCGGTGGCGGCCATGCTGGGAGGACGCACCCAGTCTGGATTTTCTGCGATGGCGGGGGTGGAAATATGGTGAGACTCAGCATTCCCTACCTGTCTCCAAACCCACTCCTGCTACTGCCCTGGGATGTCCAATAGCCTCCCCAAATCCACATCAGTGCCTGCAGTCTGACAAGTACAAGCACAAGCTCAGGGAGCCCCACTCCAGCACTTAATGGTTATGTCTCCTTGGAGAAGTGTCTGAACCTTTAGGCCCTCTCATAGTATACAATTCTTTCATTATAGTTTCACTTCTTTATTTTTCCTCTCATCATTTATAAAGACTTATAATGTCTTTGAGATTTTTCTTTATTATTTAGGGATAGCAATTCACCGATTTATTTTATCTCCTAACTCTTCCTTATGTGTGGCCTATATTTTTTCAGTGATGGCTCATCTTCAGCAAGGCCTGTTTTATCTATAAATGTCCATGTGTCCACTCTGGCTTTGAGTTTTCTTTGCTTCTGTCACCTGGGGATTTCCCTTGCTTTTAATAATTTTTAAATATTTCATTTATAAATATTTAGTTTTAAATAGTTATTTTCATTGATAAATATTTAATATTTTTAAAAGATTATTTTTATCCTTTATTCCTATTTATAGCAGAAAGGTGTGAGGGACTCAGAACCTACTAAACCTTTCCATTACTCAGTTTCCTCATCTTTAAAATGAAAATGATAGTCCGGGCGCGGTGGCTCATACTTGTAATCCTAGCACTCTGGGAGGCTGAGGTGGGAGGATCGCTTGAGGTCAGGAGTTCGAGACCAGCCTGACCAAGAGCGAGACCCTGTGTCTACTAAAAATAGAAAAAAAAATTAGCCAGGCATGCTGGCCTGTGCCTGTAGTCCCAGCTACTTGGGAGGCTGAGGCAGTAGGATCGGTTGAGCCCAGGAGTTTGAGGTTGCTGTGAGCTAGGCTGACTCCACAGCACTCTAGCCTGGGCTAGACTCTGTCTCAAAAATAAATAAATAAAAATAAAATGAGAATGATAATAGTGCCTACTTTGTGAAGTTCTTGTGATGCTTAAATGTGATAATACATACAGAGCACTTCAAGTTCTACAAAGATTGCCTAGAACACAGTAGGTACTCAATAAATGTTAGCTTAAATTACTGCTTTTCCCAGGACTGGGTCCATCCTCTCCCCACCAGCCCCTTCTTCATTCCTGGGTCTGTCTAACTGTGTGGTACCACCTAACACCGAAACATGGGAGACACCCCAGATGCCTTTCCCATCCCCCTCACCACCACTCTGTGAGTCTCTACCCTTGAATTCACTTATCTCCAAGTCCCTTTAAAGTATATACATGATGCTTTTCTGATAAAATCGAGACAAGTGAAACAAATAAAAAATAGACACTTTGAAGGAGTAAAAATAGGTGAAAGGGAAGGAAGGGGAATGATAGGCACCAGATTCAAGGTGGCAGTTGGCTGGGCAGGAGAAGCCAGAGGCACGGGACGGAGGTGGCCACGGAGGTGGGACAAGTCACTGTCCGTGACCAAGTTTCCTCTGGGGCAGTAGCTTCCCAGGATTTTATCGTATTATTAAAAATAATTTTTAAAAGAGAGCCTCACATAAACATGTGACACGAGTCTCTCATGAACTAAGAATTATGCTCAATCCTGTGTTGTGTGTTCTAGAAGGGGCTGGGGGGAGGGGGAGAGAGAGAGAAAGAGAGAGAGAGAGGAGAGAGATCTCATGCTCAACACAGAGTGTTCACCAATAGGGATGGAGTTTGAGGAGAAGAACCGAAGGAGAGAGAAAGCAACACAGACCCAAGCAGGCAATCTTGCAGAGCCACAGAAGAGGGGCCTATAGGAGGGTCACGATGGGCCACGAACTGAATTGCAAATGAGCTCTGCCCTACACCCCTGCATTTTATTTTTTAATCTTTGTTTCAAGTGAGCTTGAACTTTTTAATATGTTCAATGCCTGTTTGTATTTCTTCTGTGAATTAGTTATTGTTTCGATGGGTGTGTGGTTCCCATTTTATAAGATGTCTTATGTGATAAGGATTTTAGCCTTTTCATATATATTGCAAACATTTTCTCCAGTCCTTTCTAGTAAGAGATTTTTTCCTTTCTTTCTAGGTAGAATTTTGAAAGAAATGTGACTCAGGCCCTCAGATGACCCATTTAGTACCCATGATGCTGTGCCGTCACGGCTGATGGAAACACCCAGTGCTGCTGAGGCAGAAGCTCTCCTGGGGGCCTGGAGTCCTCCCACTCCACGAGCCTCTGCCCCACCCTTAGGCTCTTATCCAGTGGTATCTAGACCAGATGTTGGGAAAATCACACATGCGCCCTGTCCCCACCCCTGGAACTCAGCCCGGGCAGCTCTATCTAGGACCTGGCCTCAGGAACTTTGCCTGGTACATTCCTTTGCTGGTCTTCGAGTCCCCTCCTGTGCATCTGGGGCCTCCCAGCCCTGTGCCCCTCCCTTCCAGGACAGCAGTAAGGACACCCCAGCACATGGCTGGTGTCGGGTATCTGGCAGCAGCTGGCAGAGAGGGCAGAGGGCTGAGGACTGCTCTTCTGCACCTGGGAGTTGGCAATGTTTAAACACCAGGTCTTCTGAGCTGCCAGCGCTGACCTTGGTCTTGACTAGATTTCTCAAAGTCCCTGACTTTTGCTCTAGCCAAGCAACCGAGTTTGTTGAATGCTTAAATTGAAGCCAAAAATCAGGATCAGCAGGCCCTGGGTGGGTCCAGGCCACCTTTGAGGTTTTCTTTCCACCTGGAGTACTCTGTCTCCTTCCCACTCTGGGAATTCACTGTTCTTTCACTCTGGCAGGTCCTCCTCGCCTTTGAACAACCATCCCCTCCTATTGCTTTCATCAATAATATCAACAACGGTGACAATGGCCACCAGCGCTCCCATATGCACATTTACAGTTGACCAGGCCCCTTCATACCCACTGTGGTAGTCCTGTAAGGCTAGCCAGGAAGGAACTGTGAGCCCCATTTAACCCAGGAGCAAAGCAACTTTTCCAGGGTCACCTAGGAAGTCACTGGCCAAGCTGCATCTGAAACTCAGGTCTTCAGACTCCAGGAACATGGTGCCTCATCCATGGTCCCATCCATCCTCAGTCTCTGTTCTGCCCCACCCAGCAGTTACCATATGGAGTCACTGAGAAATATGCGACTGTGTCTTGCCCCCTGGCTGGTCTAGCTGCTGTGGCCTCCCCTACAATGAAGCCAAGGGCACAGAGGCAAGACACAACTTGTCTCTGAGGCAGTAACATTATCCTTTTGGCAACTTCCTGAGACTGCTGGCCTAGGCTGGCCACAGTTTGACTTTGCAAGAACCTCTGCCTATAAAATAATGTCTCCTTCTGGGGATCCAGGGCTTCCCAAGTCTCTCAGAGAAGTTGCAGTTGAGGTGACAAGAGGGAGGATGTTGCTATGCCCATCTAGATGAGAAAGCAGCCATGTCAGCCGAACTCCTATGAGCTGAACACTCATATGTAATTTTCTCATTTCATCTTCACCGTAGTCCTGGAAAGCAATACTATTATGATCCCCATTTTCCAGATGAGGAAACAGGCTTGGAGAGGTGAAGCCCAATTGTTCACGGCCTCAGATTAGCAAATGATGGTCCCAAGCTGGATGGCCCTAGCAACACAAGTGGAACTGGTGCCCCTTTCCTAGTTCCCCCTTTCAAAATGGACCGAACTTGAATTCGAAGGATGAGGCTCCAATGATGGAACCTCAGCTTCTGGCCTCAGCAACTAGTGGCAGAGAAGATTCAAAGCCAGTGGCGTGCTGGTGCCGGGCCCTGCAGGCTGGGAGAGCCAGTTGTGTGGCATCTTGGAGGCATTAGAGAAATGATCGTGGTATTAACCAACTCTACATTCAGTGATGTTAAGTTGGTAGCTTGAAATTGGGAATATTTACACCATGGAAAATGCTATAAATCAAGGCTTTCCTCTCTCTCCTGTGCCATCCTACCTCCTCCGTACTCCAGCCCAGAGCTGGTTGTTAAACATTTGCCAGCACACCCTGATCAGGCTCCCAAGGCACCTGATCAAATCCTGACCTACTCACTGTCTCCTCTTTTTGTCTCCCACCATCTTCCCTCTTCCACCCGACACATCATTTCCATAGCTATTCTCACGCAGCCCAGGGCCCTCAAAGGCAGGGTCATGCCTGGGTGCCCCTAAGGTTCCCGTAACATGCCCTGCTGGGGGCACTTGTCACAGAACAGCTGATAAGACGTGGAAGCTAATCAAACAAACAAGACAAAGGTGGCCTCTTGAGGCTACACTGGCTTTTGGCATTTGTATTCCAAGGACACCATTTGACATCACTTCTAAAGGAAAATAGTTTTACTGGCTTCCTTCGAATTTCGAAATCATGTCCTTCTTAAAATGCAAACTAAATCTTCCCTCCCAGAAGCCTGCCCGGGCTGCTGGCCTGGTGAAACCCCTGCCCCAGCCCTCCGAGTACTCACAGAAGGTCACTGTTCAGCCTTGGTGTCCATCTCGTGGAAGTAGAGCCACCTTTTGGAGATCACCTGCCTCCCCTGCAACTGTGCTCCCAGGACTCGCCGGCACAGTGCTGGCATCTGAGAGGCATTCAACAGACGATGGTGGAATAAATCAGCAAGTCCTCTCTCCCTTCCTTCTCCTCTCTCCTCATGTTTCCCTTTTCTGGTTTTCCACCTCCCCACCAGTGCCCTGGACACAGCTGAGCCAAGACCCTCCTTCTCTGAGTTGTTTCCTCAGCCTGGGCCAGCTCTTCCCCAGGAGCCTTGGGAGCCCGTGACCAAGGAGCGTGACCAACCCAGAGCCCCACTGTTTCCACTTGAGCCGTGTTCAAGTGCCACCTCCAGTTGGTGCAACCTCCCCAACCTGTGTCACGGGAAGTGGCCTCGTGTCCCCTAACCGCTCCTTTAAGATGTTCCCCTGGCTGCTTTTGGGAGGACTGGGGTGGAGATGGGGTCCCAAGGTCGGAACTGTGCCCTGGCTCAGCTTGGGATGGCCCCCACTCTGGCTCTCTGCTCATAACTGGGACAGTTCCATCCTGTGTTCCTGGGCCAGCTGTGGCTGGAAAAGTTGACGCAGGAGTCATGAAATGATTCATACTCTGACCACAGTTTCCAGCTGTGGAACACCCTCTGGCCTTGGAAGAGGTACATGACAGGAAGGTCAGGCACAGGTGGCAGAAAATCTGCCGTTGGGGAATTTGGTCATAGTGTTGGGATCTCTCTGCTTTCTTCCTCTTGGGCTTGGGGAAAACACCAGATACTAAACTGTAACTGCGTAAATAACAATAACAATAATACTCAACACATGTAGCAATTACTACGGGCCAGGCTCTGTTCTCATGGGTGAATTCATTTCCTCCTTGCAATAACACTAGGAGGCAGGTAGCATTATTACCTCTGTTTTACATATGAGGAGGCTGAGACACAGGAGGGCTAAGGAACTTGCCCAAGGTCACACAGCCAATAAATCGCTGAGCCAGGATTTGAACCCAGTCCCATAGTCCAGGCTAGCTCATTAAAAGATAGGGGCAAGGCATGGGGCGAGAGATGGAGAGGTAACAGGAGAGGTAACGGGAGAGGCTGCTGCTGCTTAGGACACCTGCATGGAGGGCTGTTTAGAAGGCCGATGGCACGTGAATGGAAAAGGACGTGAGAGCCGCACATGGGAGACACGAGAAGTCTAGTGCCTTGACAATGGCACACTAGGGGGAGGAACTGCTGAATGACAGCTCAGGGAGCTGGGTCTCCACGTCACTGGTCAGTTTGGGGTATACTGGGCTTAAACCTTCAGCCCTGCGAGCCCCAAGACAGAGGCAATGCTCCCATCTGGAGCCCTTGACTTCCGTGAGTCAGTTTTCTCATCCACAAAATAAGTAATATTTATAGTGAAGGATTTTGTTAGGATTCGATCTTATGCAATCATAATAACAGCACTATGGAGCCCCACCCGTGTGCCAGGCCCTGGGGTAAGGGCTCTGAATATATTAACTGATGTCACCCTCACATTTACCGTATAGAAGTAAATACTATTGTCAGCCCTGTCTTAGAGCTGAGGACACTAAGGCACAAAGAGGTTAGGGAACTGGCCAAGATCACAGAGCAATTGAGTAGCACAGCGGGTGTTTGAAACCCAGTGTCCATGCTTTAAATGCTAGGTTACACTACATCTGAAAGGAAGTAAGAAACAGGCTGAGTCCCCCGCCTCCTGAGCTTTGTATGTAATAATGTACTGACTACTCACAATAACCTTATGAGACAGGTCCCATTTTACAGATGAGAAACTGAGACTCAGAGAGGGAGAGTAACATGCCCAAGGACACACAGCAAGTATACAACAGGATTGGAAATCGAGTCCCTGCAGTTGGCTCCAGAGCTGGAGCCCCAAACCACACATGAGGAGTTCTGCCCATGTGAGCCCCTTCCTCAGACTCACAGGACGAACAGCTGCCTTCTAGGCGGTCTGCCATAGGAAGCATCATATTAGGTTTAACTGTGATTCGTAAAACACAATGAAAATAATAGTGACCATCCTGACACTTACACAGGGCCCTCTGTACTTCCTGAGGCCCTTTTATATCCCGGTGCTGCTGGGTGTTCCTGGCTCCCTTGTGAAGGGGCAAGCAGGTATTGCCCCACTGGTTTCTCAGGAAACCCAGGGCCACACCCCAGCCAGGCAGAGCTGGCCCTAGAGCCCTGGCCTCTAATTCCAGACCATTACGCACTCTCTCTCTTTAACTTTTAATGTGTTATTTCTCCTGGTTACAAAAATAATATATACTCAATGTAAAATGTGGCAACACAGGGGAAAAATAGAAAAGAGGCGAAACACTCCCCTATGATCCTCCCCCTGCAGAAATAACCCGAGGGAACATTTTAGTGTATCTTGTCTGCTTCGTGCCCAGAGCCTTGTCAGCTGCACCAACCCTCATGGATTTGTGGAACCACAAACTCTAGCTGGAAGGGAGTGGCCTTGTGCAGTCCCCAGCAAGGCAGGGTCCCCTTGCAGCCTCCTGCTAGACACAGCCAACTCCTGTTGCTGGGATCTGTGAGGTTGGTCTGCTCCCCATGCTCCCTGGGACTCCACATTATTCAATGTTTCCTAGCTCTAATCAGGAAACGGGGATGTTTGTGACATCGAAAAAAATCGTAAGAGCAACCCCTCGTCCAAAAAATTATTTCATTTAATAAAAAGTAAGCATTTTCAGAGCTCAACCCTTCAACGAGCTGCTGCTGTAGGAGAAGATGTGATTTTCATGTTTTCCCCGAATTATTTTTTGATTTTTTGGTTTTTGCCTTCCTCATTGTTGCACAAAATGTCCTCATGAGAGCTCCTTGCATTTGATTTCAGCATGATAACAGGTTCAAAATGAAAGACCCTACCACCCCCAGAAAGGGTGGCACACTTGTGTGATACAGAATAGACGGAATACTAATCAATCCACTTCTTAATGGCTGTGTAACCCTGGGCTAATTATTTAACCTCTCTGAGCCTTAGAATTCTTACCCATAATATGCCTCCCTCATGGGGTTTTCATAATAAATTGAGTGCCTGGCATATAACTATTGGTTCCCTTCCGGGCCCTAAAACAAATAAACTCATTGATTCAATGACACTTGACTCAGGCTGGGATGCAGGGGAGGGGATCTGGGGACTATTTGGATCTAAAAGTGTTTGGGGCAGAAGGAGGAGGCTGGGAATTTGGGGAGTAACGAATGAGAACGGGGGCCCCTGGGGAGGGGGTGGATGCCTACAAAAGGAGATCACAGAGCCGGGGAACCTTGGCCCTGGGAGGGAGGCCTTTGAAGACCATCTCATCTGCCCTGTTATCTTACTGCTGGGGACACAGAGGAACAGAGAGGGAAGGGACTGCCTGTGGACACCCAGCCAGGTCTGAGAACCAACTCTCAGGGATGTTCAGAATACAAAAAGCCAATTCTCAGAGCCGGGTTGAGGAGGGAAAGAGGCCAGCAGCCCATCTCACTCCCCAGGTCCCGGAGGCAATTGCTTCACCATTTGCCCTAGAAGGAAAGCTCCATACTGACCCCTCTTAGCGCCACCCTCTTCCCAGCACCTGTGCCCAGTGCCCAAGCCACTGGGTCCAGTGTCTCCCTGTAGCCCCTGGCAGGCCCATCCTACCCCGAGTGTGCCATAACCTACCAGAGCCAGACGGACTTGTCTGGGAGGGTCCACCCAAGCCTGGGAGCAGAGCAGCAGGGCCCGCGCCTCTTCCTCGGGGAAGTGCAGAGGGAGTGTGACTTCTCTGTAGGCACTTCCTCTCTCTGGACAGCAGCCTGCACGTATCCTGCTTTAAGGCTGGGACGAAAAGCAGCCCTTTCCCCCGCCCCAGCCCTCTTCTAAGCTTCACAGCCACAAGCTGTTTCCCTTACTGACAAATGACTCAAGCTCAAATGACCCCCAACCCCATGAGGGAGCAACCCCCAAAGACAGTCTAGTTATTTTGAAACCATGTATCCCCAGCCACCCGTCTCTGGAACAATTCCCCATTAGCTGGGGCCAAGCCCATTGATAGCTGATTCTGGACCTCCAGGCCTTAGCTTACCCTGTCTACCTGGGCAGCCTTCCCAGCACCACCTGCAAAGGGCCTGCCTCCAGCTCCATTCATCCCGGACTCCTTTCCAGCAGGTTGTCATCCCTATCTCTCCCCAACCCTAAACACCACCCAGAGTCTCCTTTTCTGGCCATAACTCCCTCCAAGAAGTGTTGTGTCTGCTACACCCACAGTGTGTCAGCACTATTCTCATCTCCTGACTTTCCAAACCATCTTCCCTCTTTCCCTCTCTCCACACCCTCCCGTCACAGCATGTATCTCTGGAGCTGGCTGCCTGTTTAGTTGTCTGCTTCCCCATCTGGTCAGGAGGCCCCAGGACAGGGACCATACCTGACCTGCCAGTCTGAGCCCAGGGCCAGGCAAGAGCAGAGACTGACTGAATGAATGAATGGGTGTGTGGGACGCACTGCCTGCCAGGTGTTTAGCAGTAAGTGTCCCTCTCCCCCAGATCAGCACCGGTGGTCCGGGATCAGCATCTCAGCCACCTTCACTTCTAGCCCTACAGCCCATCTGGCACACAGCAGGTGCTTGGTGAGTGCCTGTTACCTCCACCTGAACTGAACGATAATACAGCAGTAATGCCAGGTGGTTAAAGACACTGGCTTCGAGGTCATGCAGAGCGGGGCTTGAATCTGGCTCTGTATTTACTGGCTGTGTGACCCAGAAATGGTGGTTTTGACTCTTTCAGCCTCGGTTTTTCCATCTTTATTGGGGATGGCAATGGTGTCTCAGACAGGTATCACAGAACTCGATGTCCCCAGAGAGGTGGACATGGACTTAGACATTTGCCTTTCCTCTGGGTCCACAGGCCATTCAAAGTGGAAGACAAGCCTTTGATGGGTTCCCACACAGACAGAGAGCAGGGGACCTTGCAAGTGGGTTGGCCTCCAAGTGTCTCCAGGACAAACGCTAGTTACCAAAAGGGAGAATAAGTCCCAAGGAGCTGCCCAACAAGTCTCGGAGTCCTGGGTCCCTCCCAGAGAACAGCTAAATTCTAGGACCTGGGCTCTTTCTTCATC